TTCATGTGGTGCTAAGGATTGAAGCCAGTGCCTCATACATGCAAGGCAAATGCTCCACCACTGAGCCCCAACCTCAGCCTCCAAGTCTGCATTTCTATTTCTGCAAACTAAAGTTAACAGAACGTAACACATCAGTCCCATTACAAGGTAGAACTAAACATTTCATCATATAATATATATTCCAACTTGATTTTTAAGAAACAGGTCAAAATAAATAATTTGCCAACTCTCAGCTCTTACCCTGAAATGAGAAATTTAAGCAAAAGTAAAATGACTTAACTTTATTCCTCAGGTTTTATGTGCTTTAATATAAGTTATTGTTAATTAATATTAAAAGCCTTGAAAACAAAGTGAACTTGGGCTATTCTACTTAATCTTCATAAGGATTTTCAAGTGAAATATTTATAGTTCATAAAGTCCTCCTGGATCAAAATCTTAATTCTTTTCTCTTTCAATGAATGTAGCACTCTGTTTCTGATGTCTGGTATCCAAAAGATGTCTAGTCCACCTCTTGAAATGATTCACTAACATTCTTAATTTCAAACCCATCCCAGAGGAGGCCAGGACAGCACTGCTGAAGGGGCACAGTAAAGTGTCTTAGGCATAAATCTCAGTTATTACACAAAGAAACTCCCAGAATACATTAACTTCATGGTTTAGTCTATTAGGTGATCTCAAGAGAAGCCCCACAGGGAAAATGTAAGCCAAATCTAACTTTTGTGTGTATGTCTCTCACACAAATACTGTGCTTTTCATGTCTAAATCTGAGCTTACATAAAACATGCCTTTACAAAGTCCAGGTAAATTTTTAAAATTTTGTTGTAGAAGCAGACTCCATACTTATATGGGATGCATTGCCCCACTGGAATCTGGCCTCAATCTCCCAGCCTCCCCAACAGAGAATAAGAAAGTGTGTATAGATACAGACAATTCCAGATACAGATCATATCAGTATTTTCCTGTCCATCCCAAATTATTAAATCTCTTTGTTACTTAGATGATAAATTTTTAAAAAAATTTTAAATTTTGTTATATATGACAACAGAATGCATTACAATTCATATTACACATATAGAACCCAATTTTTCATATCTCTGGTATACACAAAGTAGAGTCACACCCTTCATGTCTTTATACCTGTACTTAGGGTAATGATGACCATTGCATTCCACCGTCTTTCCTACCCCCATTCCCCCTCTCTTTCCCTCCGTCCCCTTTCCCCTTTCCCCTGTCTAGAGTTCATTAAATCCTCCCATCCCTACTCCAACCCCTGCAGCATATTATGAATTAGCATCCTTAAATCACAGAACTCATTCAGCATTTGTGTTTTTTGGAATTGGCTAATTTCACTTAGCATTATATTCTTGAGCTCCATCCATTTACCTGCAAATGCCATGATTTTATTCTCTTTTAGTGCTGAGTAATATTCCATTGTGTATATATTCTACATTTTCTTTATCAATTCATCTACTGAATGGCATCTAGGTTGGTTCCACAGTTTAGCAATTGTGAATTGTGCTGTTATAAACATTGATGTGGCTGTATCCCCATGAGTATGCTGTTTTAAAGTCCTTTGGATGTAGACATAGGAGTGGGATAGCTGGGTCAAATGGTGGTTCCATTCCCTAAATCTAGCTTTTAACAATCACTTCTCTCCTTCCTTATGTCAATCAATTCACATACCTTCCGAAAATTTACAAATGATCCAGATTCACATTAATAATGTATTAAATAGTGACTGCCTGTGAGAGCTAAGGCCCTGTGTTAACCAAGAAAGAAAAAAAAGGCGGGGCTGGAGTTGTGGCTTAGTGGTAGAGCACCTGCTGAGCAGGTGTTAGGTTCTGGGTTTGATTCTCAGCACCATATTGAATAAATAAGTAAAATAAAGACATTTAAAGGAAGAAAGAATTTGATTTTGCCCTTAAGGAGCTTATAATCTGGCTCCTCTGTCTCTAAAATCTATTCCTACATCGGACAAAAAACAGCCGAATATTGCCCTTTCCAGAAGAATCCTAAAAATTCTGTCACTCACAGCATCAGAATTAACTTTTCCAAACAAACATACAAAATAATAAAACTTGACTTTTGCAAAGCATGAGGTGCCTTGAACCTGTATGAACTAAAATACAAAGTGAAGGGAAAAAGTATAATGAACTGCAATATCTTTGATCCTTGCACACATGCATGAAATCTGCCAAATTCAATTTTTTTTAATTTATTTTTTAAAAATCTTTATTTATTTATTTATTTATTTTTATGTGGTGCTGAGGCTGGAACCCAGCGCTAGGCAAGCACTCTATCGCTGAGCCACCACCCCAGCCCCTCAAATTTTTTAAATCTCAACATTGCTAAGCCATCACTTGGATATACCCCTTCATTTCTGTTTTATGCACTAACCAAGATAACACTGACTTTTCAAATAAAAGAAGAAACACTTTAGTTAATGGTATAATTCAAACAAACAAAATATACATTTACTCAAAAAAAAAAAACAGGCTAAATTTTAGTAAAAGCCTATTTGAGTTTGACTAATCATTTAAATTAGCCTTACCAAAGACATAGGTCAGTACCACGAAGTCTGAAATCCTTTATAGTGATAAGGTGCCCATGATTTATATCAGTTTTATAAAGTTTGTTTCCACCTCCTTGTATACAATTTAAAAATTCATCCTAATGATATGACACAGCTTACATTAAACAAATCCAGGCAGAGAGTTACAGATTTTAATACAGAAAATAACATCATTAAGGCCTTCAAACTTGGCTTTTAACACTAACATTTAGGCTACCAAAATGGCAAGTGCTATCCAATATTCACTAGTAAAAATGCAGGCCAAAATCTGCATCCAATCAGACAGCCCTGCATCATTATGTTAAAATCTCTGCAGCACATTCAATTATTAGCTAAGGAAAAATTAAACTTGGGGAAGGGTATTTCTCTTCAAGTTGATTGATTGGGTTTCTTTCAAAGCTGAGGACTATCAGCTATCTACAAGCTCCTCTCCATCTCTGTCCCCTAGTCAGGGGTCCTGTCGCACAGCAACTGCAGGACACAAGCTTCTATGCGTATGCACACAGAGGACCAACAGCCAACGAATGGTCTTAGACTCCAAGAAAGTAAAAATTGATATTTCCATGCGCCAGAATGCCAAACGTCTTTAACGTTTAAAACGTGCCTTTTCGCTTTGAATTAAAGTCTCCATCCAAAAAAAAAAATGTGTCCAACCAACTCATTCCTCCAGAGTAAACACAGAAACCTATTCTGCAAACCAAGTGTAAGGCCAAATAGCGGGGAGAGGGGCTGGTTATTAAAAGAAAAAGAAGAAAGCCCACCACCACCACTGCGCATAGACTTTAATGAAGCTCATTTAATAAGCATGGGAAAGTGTAAAGATGTTGCCAGCATTTGCCCATCCACGTGGGTCCTCCAGGTACAAAAAGGTGATCCTGGAGGTAAACCCTGGAACACCATGTGAGGTTTGGCCTCGCCCCTAACCCCCATCTCTGATTGAAGATCCTGTTTCCACAAGGGCTTTCAACGCCCAAGCGCGCCCGCTAGCACATGCTTGCTCTTGTGCACACTGCCAGAACAGCCCCGCCTCCATTTGGGACCACAGATGCAGCCTGGCAGGATTAACAAGTTGACGTTGGACGCTGTGCTCCATCAGGGGGCTGAGGACTAGGAGCGTGTGTCCAGTGTGGCGCAACACCTCTGAGGCATGGGCAGCTGTCGCTTCCTCTACCATCGCGGAGACCTCTCTAGAACCCACAAGGAAAGCTCGTCCAGGCTCTCCCAAGACGCTGAGCGACCGCGGGGATCTACTAAGGTCGCCAGAGAGGCCAAATCTCCCCCAAGCTGCGGTTAGGTCAGGGTGTTCAACGCAGGCACACCTGGACACCGGCATCCCCCTCGCCTGGCTCTGCTCCAGGTCTGAGGGGACAGCGCAGCGCCAATTCCCGGCGGCGGCTGCTAAGAACTTCAGGCAAAGTTTTCATTTGTTCTTTAGGAACTGGCCGGAGAATTGAAGTGGCGGGCGTCCAAACCGGAGCAGTAGACCAGGGCGCTGAAAGAGAGAGGGCCAAGCTGGGGGTCTGGGGTCCAGGACTAGTCCTAGAGGCGGGCCTGCTCCACCCGCCCGGGTGCTCGGCGCCAGCCCTCCCTTCAGGCCCCTCGCCTTGTGCTCCGCTGACCCGCAGACACGGTGCCTGACCTGCCGCGCCCCTGGCGGGCCCCAACGGCCTCCTCCAGTTCTCCTACCTGGGAGGTTCCGGGGTCCCGGACACCTCGTTCTGACCCCTTCGCCCCAAGAGCAGCTGTGATTACCTGAAAACGCCTACCCTGTAGCAGTTAGCACAAGTCCCGCCAAAGTCGCCAGGGAAGTCCCAAGTCCTCTCCTCATGCTGAGTGCGCGCCCGGCTGCTTTCCAGCAGAGGCGGCCGAGCGTGGCGCGCAAAGGCGGAGGCGGGACGGGAGCTGGGGCTTCCACACAGCGAGGAGAGACGCGAAAATAGCAAAGCCTGAGCCAAACCCCCCAGATGCCAGTAGTTAAAGAAGTCGAACGCCAGCTTCCTGGGTCTTCTTGCCCTGCTCCTGGCTCCGCTCCGCGTCTTGCCCTGCTGAGAGGTAACGGAGGGCGCACCTGCAGAGCTAAAATCCTCCCTGGGTTCCTGCAGCTGCGCCCCCCCGCCGCTCGCCTGCCACTACTCAGGACCCAAGCCGCCAGCGCAGGCCATGGTTGCGGCCGCGCGCATCCTGCCTGCCGCCTCTCTGCTGTCAGCCCCAAGCCACCCCTAGCGGCGGCTCGCCAATAGCAGAGCCCGCGCCCGCTGCGCACCTGGCTCTTGCTCCCCGACTGGCGAGGCCCCGCAAGCCGGATGAGGAGAGCCCAGCTTCAAGGCCACTCCGCACCGCTGAGGCCCGCTAGAGGGCGTGGGCGCCTCCCGGAGCTCCGCAGCGGGTGGCCTGGCGTCCACCACCGCCGGCGCGGACCTCACCTGCGCGGGGAGGAGCGCTGCAGGGTTGCTACCCTCTGCCCCTCCTCGCCCCGACCGCATCTTCCATTTCGGTGGCTGGCTTCGGGAGGGTGGCTGTGGAAAGGGCCGCGCCTCATCAGAAGTTTGTTCTGAGTCAAAACCCGTGAGTAGTATGAGAGCAGCGGGGCGGGACCAGCGGCCTGCAGCTCAGCGGGCGCGGCCAAGGCGATTTGGTCCCTGGCGCCCCTAAGCAGTGTCGCCAAGCAGGGCCAGTTTTAACCGCAGTTGCAGGGCCCCCGCTCCTCCGCGTCTGCGGGAAAGGCGAGCGAGAAGATCGCGGAGGTTTGGGAGGGCTGCGTGCTGCTCCATGCCGCCGGCGGAGAAGTTGGCGGAGGCCAGGGAAAGGAGCTGGAGCCGCCGCGCTCCAGCCTGCGCTCCGGTGGCCCCGTGTGCCCTGAGCCCCCAGCACCGGGTGTAGCAGGGCTCGCTTTTATGCTGCACGGTGTCTCGGCGTCCCATGTGCCAGCCGTGGGCTGTCGTCGTAGAAGGCGGCGGTCACACGGAAACTAGGGTTTGAACATAAACCGTGATTTCTGTATCTGGCTAGTGCGAAGTGCTGGGCAAGGGCGGAGAAAGAAAGATGGAGAATGAATCAAGAAATGTCTCGAAATATTTTAATTTGCTGGTTTGAGTCTGAGATGACTCTTACTGAGAATTTTTTAAAAAATGCACACACATAGATAGCAGTGACAAAGATGAATCACTTTACTGCAAGCTGGTTCTAGCTTATATAGAAAATGGGAATCAGTTATCTTAAACCAGGAAGCTCCCGGGGCAAATCATAGTGGGGCAAATCTTAGTAAAGGTCAGATCATCACCTACTGTGCACCATGTCCACCCTGCATAAGATTCATGGAGGGCACGGAACTGTCCACGCGTATGGAAGACTGGAGGGCCAATTAGAAGGCTTTCAAAACAACTTGTTATCCGCCCACTGGCAACTTGCCATTGCCATGTTGCATTAGGGGCTCCTTATCTGAAAGGCCCAGGGAGTTCTAGCTGCCCACTGGCAATTTGCCTGCCGCCATGTTTGAAAGGCCCAGGGAGTTTTCAGGGAGACTCCCAACAGCTGCAGTAACGTGTAACTTTTAACATATTATTTATTTGTCCTTTATTTATTTTTCATGATCCATCCCCCTCAAAATAAGCACATTGAACCAACTCAAGACAGCTGTAGGCTCCTGGCCTAACTACTGCAGCCAAGGAGGCTTGGAAAGATGTTAAATTGGAAATCAAAATAACTGAATACCAGAATTTCTCTAACTTCTAATTGGGGCTAAGGCTTCCCACCAGCAGGGTTTGAACATTGGCGCCAGAACGTTTTGCGCCAGTGAAAGAAACAAAGAGGAGAAAGAGGGTCCTTAGACGCCATGTTGGGTTTTTTTTCTGGGGTGTTGCTGCTGTTATATGTTTTCCCAACAGAAAGTAAAAGTCTAGTCACACTGCTTTCAAGTAACTTCTTTAAACAGGGCAAAGAGGTTAATGATAGGTTAGGATTTCATTTGCAAAGTTAATTCTTTCAGTAAATAACTATTAAAGCAATAACTTTTGCCAGGAACAGTGCTAAGTGCCCAGGTTGTCCTAGCCTGAGCTCCCACAGAAGCCAACCTTAAGGTTAGAATTTCAGTACAAATGATTTTTTTAATTGGAGGAGTGATTTTTTTTAACTAGGAAATTTAAAAAAATCAATATAGGGGGTGTTAATGAGTGGGTTACTGCTGAGGGCAACTGGGCTTGATCCCCTGGGTGTCTTCAGGATTTGGAAATTCCATTGCTGCTACCACTGGACTTCCCTAGAAATCCCTGGAAAATCCTGTTCCTTCCCACAGTTTCTTAAAGCTCAGGGGAGGGTCTGAATGTCAATTGTCCTACTTCTCTGCTCTTCATGACAATGGTAGGCTGACTGCCCTTAAGAGCCTTCCATTAACATTTCAAAGGGTAAGGGGGGTTTACCCTGCCCCAACTTCCCTTACAATTTGGGACTACTATTATTTTTTTTAAATCCCTCTTACGGGTAACTGATCAAAACAGCCTTTGAGTCCAAAGAGAAGGGCTCTATTGGAAACTAATGGTGAGAAATAGGGGTTTAATTTCATTTTGTTACATGTGGATTTCCAATTTTCCTAGCACCAGTTTTTGAAGAGGCTGTCTTTCTCCAATGTATGTTTTTGGCACCTTTGTCTAATATAAGATAACTGTAATTATATGGGTTTGTATCTGTGTCCTCTATTCTGTATGATTGGTCTACCAGTCTGTTTTGGAGCCAATTCCATGCTGTTTTTGTTACTATTGCTCTGTAGTATAGTTTAAAGTCTGGTATAGTGATACCACCTGCTTTACTCTTCCTTATCAGGATTTAGCTATTCCTCCTTTAGCTATTCCTTCTTTAGCTATTTTTCCAGATGAATTTTATGATTGCTTTTTCTATTTCTATGAGGAATGCCATTGGGATTTTTGATTGGAATCACACAAAAACATGCACAAAACTCAAATCAGAGTGGATCAAGGACCTAGGAATTAAGCCAGAGACACTGTATCTCATAGAAGAAAAAGTAGGCCCAAATCTCCAATCTCCATCATGTCAGATTAGGCCCCCACCCCCGCCCCTGCCTTCCTTAATAAGACTCCTATAGTGCAAGAATTAAAATCAATAATCAGTAAATGGATGGATTCAAACTAAAAAGTTTCTTCTCAGCAAAAGAAACAATCAGTGAGGTGAATAGAGAGCCTACTAATTGGGAGCAAATTTTTATTACTTGCACATCAGGTAGAGCACTAATTTCTAGGGTATATAAAGAACTCAAAAAGCCAAACACCAAAAAAAAAAAAAAAAAACCAAATAACCCAATCAACACCTAGGCCAAGGAACTGAACAGGCGCTTTTCAAAAGGTGATATACAATCAATCAACAAATATATATAAAAAAAAAATGTTCAACATCTCTAGCAATTAGAGAAACGCAAATAAAAACTAAGATTTTTATCTCACTCCAGTCAGAATGGCAGCTATTAAGAAAACATAAAACAATAAGTGTTGGTGAGGATGTGGGAGAAAAGGCACACTTATACATTGCTGGTAAGACTGCAAAGTGGTGCAGCTAATATGGAAAGCAGAATGGAGATTCCTTAGAAAAACTGGGGATGGAACCACCATTTGACCCAGCTATATCACTCTTCAGTCTATACACAAAAGACTTAAAAGACAGCATACTATAGGGACATAGCCACATCAGTGTTTATAAAAGCTAAAGTGTGGAACCAACCAAAGATAATTTTCTTTATCCATTCATCCCCTTCAGTAGATGAATGGATAAAGAAAATGTGAGATATATATATATATATATATATATAAAATGGAATATTAGCAATAAAAGAATAAAATCATGGCATTTGCAGGTAAATGGATGGAGTTGGAGAATATAATGCTAAGTGAAGTTAATCAATCCCCCAAAATTAAATGTCAAATGTTTTCTCTGATATAAGAAGGCTGATTCACAGTGGGGTTGGGAGGGGAATATGGGAGGAATGGAGGAAATCTAGATAGGGCAAAGGGATAGGAGGGGAATGGAGAGGGCACATGGTTAGGAAAGGTGGTGAAATGAGATGGACATCATTACTATAAGTACATGTAAGAAGACAGAAATGATGTGAATATACTTGGTATACAACCAGAGATATGAAAAATTGTGCTTATATGTGTAATATGAATTGTAATGCTTTCTTCTGTCACGTATAACACATTAGAATAATAAATAAATAAATAAAAAGAAAACTAATGGAAGGGCCACTGTAGGGTGCTCCCAACTGGGCATTTGCTTTGGCTTGTATTTTCAGCAGTGGAGATTTCTTATTTCAGTCTAACTACATGTCACTCCAGGACATCTGGGGGAAATAGTGATATTTGCATTGCAGTTGGTCAGAGTTAGGGATGCTGTCAAGTAAGTCCCTAATATTGGGGGGCTTGGGGAACAGTTAGGGAAGGAAGACTTACCATATGTCTAATTTTTATCAAGTTTGCAGACTACTGTGTATCTTCTTATTGTATGTTAATATGCATCAAATTAAAAGATTAAGCAAACAGTTTTGGAGGTTTTTTGTTTTTGTTTGAGGGGGAGGGTTGCTAGGAATTGAACTCAGAGCCTTGAGCATGCTCAGTACTGACTAGCATGAAGCTGTACCCTTGGCCCCTACTATAGATTTTATGTCACAGAAAGTAAACAAAACATCAGACAACAAAATATTTTATTATGCATAGCTATATTTTCTGTTAAGAAACAGTCTGTATATATATGTAGAAATAATGTATAATTGTATATTATGGTATATATATTCCAGAAAATTGGTGTATTCCTTTATTTTAATAAAATAACCAATTTGTTATAATCAAGATTTTCACATATGTGTGTTCTATTAATAGCAGGATCTAAAGCTATGCGTCTCTGCATGGCAGTACTTAGCCACTTTCAGTTTTGTCACCTAGTGGCACTAACTACACTTCCAATTTTCAGGAAGAACATATGGCCAATGGCTGCTGGACAGCCCAGATAGAGAACATTTTTATTACCATAACTGTGATGTAAAAGATTAGTGTATTCAAATTATACAAAATCTGAACATATATTTTCATCAAAAATGTCAATTTTTTTTAAATTTAGAAAATTAAAATTACTTTGTACATTTGAAATTTATCTTTCAAATGATTCAAAGTGATCTGTTAGAATTCACATTCAAAATACAAATTATGACTGAATTTCAGTATTTAAATATATATATTGTACTGGGATTTGAACCCAAGGGCACGTAACCCATATCTGTAGCCCTTTTTGAATTTTTTTTTTATTTTTTATTTTGAGGCAGCTTCTCACTGATTTGCTTAATTCCTTGCTAAGTGGCTAAGGCTGGTCTTGAATTTGCAGTCCTCCTGCCTCAGCATCTGGAGTCACTGGGATTACCGGCATGTGCCACCATGCTCAGCTTAAATAAAAAGTTTTAAACCTTAAACTATCCCATATTTGAAATTTTAATTGTACCTTATTAATGTCCAAATAAAACATAAGCCTATCAGCAATTCTAGCACTGAGTCCACCCAGCTGCCAATGTAAAG